TTTGTTCATGACAAATTTATTTCATCAATATTTGTACCCCCAGTGTACAAACCTTTCACTTCCTTGGTTAGGTTTAGTACTAAGTATTTAATGGGATTATTTACTTAACTAAATTTTTGGATAGCTCATTCTTTTTATTTTTAGGTTTTTTTTTTTTTCAGTTATACACAACAGTAGAATCCACTTTGATATAATTATACAAGTATAGAATATATCTTATTCTAATTAGGACCACATTCTTATGGATATACATAATGGTGAAATTTTGGTCTATTCATTATAAATACATAGGGATATTATGTCAGATTTATAACACTGTCTTTCCTTTTCCTATCCCCCTTCTCTTCCCTTCATTCCACTTTGTTTAATCTACTCAAATGCTAGTCTTCCCTATATCCCGTTATTGTGGGTTAGTTTAACATATCAGAAAAAAATTTGACATTTTTGGCTTATTTTCACTTAGCAAGATAGTTTCCAGATACATACACTTACTTATGAATATCATAAATTCATCCATCTTTATAGATAAGTAATAGTCCATTGTGTATATGTATTACATTTTTTTTCCATTCACCTGTTGAAGGACACTAAGTTGGCTCCATAGCTTAGCTATTGTGTATTAAGCTGCTAGAAATATTGATGCAGATGTGTCAATCTAGTATGGAGATTTCAAATCCTTTGGATATGTGCCAAGTAGTGGGATGCTGGGTAAAATGGTGGTTCCATTTCTAGATTTTTGAGGAGTATTCATACTGCTTTCCAGAGTGGTTGCATCAATTTGCAGTTCTACCAACAAAGTATAAGTGTTCCTTTTCCCCCATATTCTTGCCAACATTTATTATAATTATTAATTTTGAAAATTGCCTTTCTGACTGGAGTGAGTTAAAATCTCAGTGTAGTTTTAATTTGCATTTACCTAATTATTAGAGTTATTCAACATTATTTCATATCTCTGTTGACCATTTGTATTTTTTTTCTTTTGAGAAGTGTCTGTTCAGTTCCTTTGCCATTTACTAATAGGCTTACTTGGGATGTGTGTGTGTGTGTGTGTGTGTGTGTGTGTGTGTGTTAAGTTTTTGAGTTCTTTGTACAGCCTGGAAATTAATGTCCTGAGGTGCAGGTGGCAATGATTCTCTCCTATTCTGTAAGCTCTTTTTCACACTCTTGATTGTTTCCTTTACTGTGAAGAAGCTAGAAGATTTTTGTTTGATACCATCCCATTAACTGATTTTTTAAAATTCTTGCACTTTAGGGGTTCTGTTAAAAAACTCAGTTCCTCCCCCTTCCAGCTGCTCTCCATAGTGTGCTGAGCGTGTGAGCCTCAGCACTTGTATGGTCTTGTGGAAGACTATGTTGTTACCTAACATTCTGCTCACTGGTTAGCGGGCAGAGTCTGGAAGGGTTTGGGCGGCTGTTCAGGCAAGCTTGGCCTGTTCTCTGGACTGCAAGTGTTCCAGACTGGGTACTCCAGGGGTTGGAAAAACTATACTAGGCAAAGAACTTGCATCAAGATCAGGACTGAAATACATTAATGTGGGTGATTTAGCTCAAGAAGGGCAGTTATATAATGGCTATAAATAATGAAGAGTATGATTGTCCCATTTTAGATGAAGATAGAGTAGTTGTTGAGTTAAAAAACCAAATAAGAGAAGGTGGAACTATTGTTGATTACCATGGTTGTGATTTCTTCCCTGAACGCTGGTTTCACGTAGTTTTTGTGTTGAGAACAGATAACAGTGTATTGTACAAAAGACTTGAAACAAGGGGTTATGGTGAGAAGAAATTAAAAGGTATCATGCAGTGTGAGATTTTTCAAGTTCTTTATGAAGAAGCCATAGCATCCTAAAAAGAAGAAATTGTGCATCAACTGTCCAGCAATAAACCAGAAGATCTAAAAGATAATATAAATCAGATCCTGAAATGGGTCAAAGATCATAACACTTGACTGGTCACTTTACAATCACTGTTATTGATACCTTTCTGCCCACTTCATAGAAATTGTCCACATATTATTAAAATTATTATTAAATAATATTATTAAAATCATGTTACAGCCCTAGCAAGTGCATAATGTAAAGGTTTGTGCCTGGGTCTCTTTTTCTCCACATAAAAGCTAAACAATGTCAAATATAAGGAATATAATATTAAAAGTAAAAATTGTCATTTAATGCTTTAGTTACTAAATAATAAATATGACCAAAGGGGTTGATATTCTTTATGCTTATTATAGAAGAAAATGCAGATGATTTATTAAAATAAAAAATAAAGCATCAGGAAAAAATAAAAACTCAGTTCCTGAGCTGACATGTTGGAGTGTTGGGCATACATTTTCTTCTGGCAAGAGAAGTTTTTCTGGTCTAATTCCTAGTTCTTTGATCAACTCAAAATTTAATATTGTGCAGTTTGAGTGATGAGGGTTACATTTCATTCTATTACATATGGACTTCCAGTTTTCCCAGCACCATTTGTTGAAGAGGATACATTTTCTCCAACATATATTTTTGACACATTTATCTAGTATGAAATAACCGTATATATGTCAGTCTGTCTCTGTGTAGTCTATTCTTTTCCATTGGTCTTCATGTCTGTTTTCATGCCAGTACCATGTTCTTGTACTCTAATTTAAGGCCTGGTATTTTGATGCCTCCTGCTTCATTTTTCTCAATAAATATTTCTTTGGCTATTTTGAGCCTCCTATTTTTCCAAATTAATATTATGACTCTTTTTCCTATTTCTAAGAACAATGTCATTGGATTTTTTGGGGGGAATTTCATTGAATCTGTATAGCAATTTTGGTAGCATGGCCATTTTTGACAACATTACTTCTGCCTATCCAAAGCATGGGAGATCTTTCCATCTTATATATTCTTCTTTAATTATTTTTCTGTAGTGTTCTGTAGTTTTTTATTGTAGAGATACTTTGAGTTTTTAAAAATTGATTTCCAAGTATTTTATTTTTCTGAGGCTATTGTGAATGGGATGGTTTTCATAATTTCTCTTTCAGCTGATTCTTTATTGGAGTATAAGAATGCAATTAATTAATGGATGTTAATTTTGTATCCTACTTTGCTGAATTCATCTATGAGTTCAAAAATTTTCTGGTGGAGCATTTTGGGTCTTCAAAATAGAAAATATGTCATTGGAAAACAGAGATAGTTTGACTTCATTTCCTATTTGTCTCCCATTAATTTCCTCTTCTGGCCTGATTGCTCTGGTTCACGTTTCAAGGACCATGTTGAATAAAAGTGGTGAAAGTGAAAATTCTCGTCTTATTCCTGTTTTTAGAGGGAATGCTTTCAATTTTTCTCCATTTAAAACAATGTTGGTTCTGGGTTTGTCATATATAGCTTTTACAATGTTGAGGCATGTGTCTTACAGACCTAGTTTGTCTAGTGTTTTACATGTGAATAGATGATCTATGTTGTCAAATATTTTGGGGGGGCATCTATTGGGATAATCATGTGATTTTTGTCTTTAAGTCTATTTATGTGATGAGTTACATTTTTAAATTTTCATATGTTGAAACATCCTTCCATCCCTGGAATAATACCCACTTGATCATGGTGCACTATCTTTTAAATGTGTTTTTATATGTGATTTGCTAGTATTTTATTAAGAATATTTGCATTTATGTTCATCAAGGAAATTGGTCTGAAGTTTTCTTTCCTTGATGTGATTTTGTCTGGTTTTGATATCAGGGTGATACTAGGTTCATTGAATGAGTTTGGAAGACTTCTCTCATTTTTCTATTTCACAGAATAATTTTGGGAAGGTTTGTATTAGTTCTTTAGAGGTTTGGTAGAATTGAGCTGAAAATCCATTTGATTCTGGGCTTTTCTTTGTTGGTAGGCTTTTGGTGGCTTCTTAAGTTTCATTACTTGAAATTTACTCTTTAAATTTTCTATATCAACCTGGTTTAATTTGGGCAGGTCATATGTCTCTCAGAATTTGTCACTGTGTTTAAGATTTTCTAGCTTATTGAAGTATAAAGTTTTGAAATAGTTTCTGATTATCATCTCTATTTCTTTAGTGTGTGTGGTGATATTTTATTTTTGTCATGAATTCTAATAGTTAAAATTTCTCTCTTTCTTTTGGTTAGCTTGGCTAACCAAAAATATACAATTTTGTGTATTTTTTTAAAGAACCAGCTTTTTTTTTCATTGATTTTTTTGAAATTTTTTCAATTTCAATTTTATTGACTTTGGCTCTTATTTTAATTATTTCCAGTCATCAACTGATTTTGGTGTTGATTCATTCTTCTTGTTCTAGGACCATAATATGGAATGTTAGATTATAAATTTGGTACCTTTTTATTCTATAATGTGTGAGATCAACACTAAGAACTTTTCCCATAGAACTGCCTTCATAGTATCCCACAGATTTTGATATGTTGTATCACTCTTCCCACTTACCTCTTTTTTTAAAATTTCACTCCTGATTTGTTCTGCTATCTATTCATCATTCAATAGTGAATTAATTAGTATCCAGGTATTGGTGTTGTTTCTATTTTTTATCACATCATTAATTTCTAAATTTGTTCCATGATGATCTGATATAATTCAGGGTATTATTTCTATTTTTTGTATTGCTTAATGACATAAAATATGGTCTGCTTTATAAAATGTTCCATGTGCTGGTGAGAGGAAAGTGTGTTCAGTCATTGATCGATGGAATTTTCTATATATGAAGATGGTGAAATGAGATGGACATCATTACCATAGATACATGTAAGACTACACATAGGGTGTGACACTACATCATGTACAACCAAAGAAATGAAAAGTTGTGCTGCAGTTGTGTACAATGAATCAAAATGCATTCTGCTGTCATATGTACCTAATTAAAATAAATTAATTTAAAAAAGAAATTTTCTTTATATGTGTGTTCAGTCTAGATTGTAGATTGTATTTTTTACCCTCATCATTTATTAGCACTGGTTCTGTTTGACATAATGGGTTTCCAGTAAAGATGCAGAGCTATATGAAGTGACCAGCATGTGAGCAGCGGGCTCTCACTTCTTTCACTCATTCTTGTCATAGTCCCACTTGTCGGAGAAGCCCTGGATGGGGCTGACCTTCATGTCCAGTATCCTCTTGGTCTGCATGGCCACCCACTCTTCATCAAAGATGTGCGGGATGGGGCCGAACACATAGTGCTTCTCCCAGATCAGAACAAGGGTGGTGAAGCCAATGAAGAACAGGGCTGCGCCCACCCCAGTCTTCCACTCGTTGGTGACCCTGTTCATCTCAGCAAAGCTCTCATTGAACTGAATAGGATACAACTCAACTTTCTCATCCCTGGTCAGGTTGCTACAGGAGGCGTTCTCCTTCTCCTTCAGGGCCTTCTGGCTGGGGGACAGCTGCCTGACATGGGCCACGTCAGGCAATGGGTAGTCGCGCCGGTTGACATACCTGGGGAAAGCAAAGTCATCGCTCTTCACCACGCTCTCACGTGCTCGCGCACACATAGAGGTGGAAATGGCTCCCTTGCTGATTAGGCTAAAGACCCTGGTAGCCAACATTCTACACCGCTCTGTCGCATCCACACTGCACCTGCTCTTGTCCTGCAGGGAAGGCTCACGAAGCCCTTGAAAATGCTTCCTCCCAGGGCAAAGAAACCGGCGTGACGTCAGGACCCAGCCCGCAGCTAGTGGTAGCCTGGCTGGGAGGCCAAGCGCGGGAGGCCAAGCGCTGGAGGCCCCGCTTGACCCGGTCCCTGGGACGCGGAGAAGGAAGTCGCCGAGATCACAGCGCAGCGGCAAGCCTCCCCGAGGCCTGCGCCTCGCAAAGGTGCGCTGAAGTCTGAGCCTGAGGCCGGCATGCCCCGGTGTCTGCGGAGGGGCGGATGCGGCCCAGCCCAGGGCTCCGAGGCCGCCTGGAGGCCGCTGCCTGAGAGACCCCGCGCCTGGAGCCCCCGCTGACCGGCCTCAATGTCAGGGAGCCCCAGTCTGCCCTCTGTCCCACGCGGGTGCCAGCTGCCCGGAGGCCCACAGGCCCTTGGAGGCCGCCAGGCAGTCACGTGGGCCATTTGTAGATTCTTTATTTAGTTTTTGTTTGAAAGATCTATCTAGTGATGACAGAGACATGTTAAAGTCATCCAGTATTATTGTGTTGTGGTCTATTTGATTCTTTTTTTTTTTTTTTCCCCAAAAACCTTTTTGTACTTGTAGATGGACAGAATGCCTTTATCTGTTAATTTATATGTGATGCTGAGGATCAAACCCAGTGCTTTACACATGCTATCAAGCACTCTACCACTGAGCCACCACCCCAGCCCTATTTGATTCTTGATGTTGAGAAGGGTCTGTTTAATCTATGTGGTTATTGCATTGTTTGAGGAATTAATATTTATGATTATTGTTTATTGTCATTGTATAGCTCCCTTATGCAGTATGAAAAGATCTACTTCATCTATTCTGATTAACTATGGCTTCAAGTCCACTTTATCTGATATGAAATTAGACACCTCTGCTTGTTTTTGAGATTTATGTGAATGATGTTTTTCCCCCCCATCTTTTTACTTTCAGTCTGTTTGTGAGTTTGCCTATGAGATGAGTCTCTTGAAGACAGCATATTCTTGGGTCTTGTTTTTTAATCCAATTTACCAGCCTATGCCTTTTGATTGATGAATTTAGACCATTTATATTCAATGTTATTATTGAGAGGTGATACTTATTTCTGGTCACTTTATTTTTCGTTTATTTTAAGTTTGAGTTAAATTCTCTTTTGACTGACTATTCTATTGTAGTTCCTTCCTCTACTGGTTTTCATTTGTATTCTACATTTCTTTTTCATAAAATATTCTATCAAATGTTTTGTAGTGCATGCCAGCTTTCTTGTTGTGAATAATTTGATATAATTTGCTCCACTTCAGTCCTCTATTCTTTCCTCTAACCTCCCCTCCTCACATCTCTTCCTCCACAACTCGACTGTTCTTATTCTATTAATTTATACTTTTTAATTAGTGTTTTGTAGATATGCATAAAGGTAAAATTCACTGTGATGTATTCATATATGTACACAGCATAATTTGATCAATTTCATTCCACAGTTCTCTTAGCTTCCCTCCTTCCTTCTCCCTTAATCCCTTCCTCTGCTTCAGTGATCTCTCTACCATCCTCATGTGATTATCCCCCAATATTTTTTTTTTTTGGTTTTACTTCTGCATATGAGAGAAAACATTCAACCCCTGATTTTCTGAGTCCGAATTATTCCACTTAGCAGGAGGTTCTCTAGTTCCATTCACTTACCAGCAAATGCCTTCTTTTGATGTAATATATAAAATTTATCTATTAATTGAGGTTTTCCCTGGATGTTATCAACACACAGACTTCTGGATGCCCTGTTTACAGGCCCCAAATTCTCAACCTGGAGTGAGTTTGCCATTCAGGAGACATTTAGCAATGTGGGGAAACAGTTTATCTTTTCATGACTACAGATAGGTATGCTATTGGCATACAATAGGTAAAGGCAAAGAATACTGCTCAATTCTTTGTAGTGCACAGGACAATTCCAACAACATAGAACACCCAGTCAAGAATTAAAATATTTGGTTTGAGGAATATTGTCTGCTCTAATAACCAAATTTCTCTGTTTAAAATAAAAGACTCTTGTGCTAAATGTGGAGCTACTAAGGCTGTTTTTCTCTGCCAGGATTAATAAAACTGAGGCTGCAGATGACCTCAGAAGTACACCAAAAGGATATTGAATAAAGTGTCAACAGCTTCTGTAAAACTAGTTGAAACATTGTCATCTCTAAATTTTTCCTTCATCAAGTATATTGTGAGGTTAAAGCTAAGTCCATGAGAAATGATCTTGGAATACTTAGGAGTTAGTTAGTTTCAAGGAAAATTGAATGTCCACATATTTTCCAAATTTTCTGTTAAATCATTATTTTTCCTGTTACAAAAGGGCTGGGAAGTGTGCAATAATGATAGTTGCCTTAGGAATTCCAAAGGTGTCTCTCTCTCTTCATGGAAGCAAATGATCATATAGACAGCATGATGCTCATAAATGTCACCTGGACAGATGATGATTTTTTGGTATTACTAATGTTAGAGAATTATAATTAAGTAGAATATTATGTAAAAATACAAGAGTGAACTCTTACAGGAATGTGGTTATAGGGAGAATAAGCCTTCCTAGTTTTTTTCTAGTTATTTTATATAGTGACTTGGCATGCATCTATTCATCTTCATGAGGCTTTCCTCAGTGTTCCCAAGCTACTATTTACCCTTTACTCCTGTATATATAAAGCTATATACAGTTTTACACAAATCTGTATACATACATTCCTCATTTCCCTTGATAGTGAGCTTCTTGTAGAAATGTCATTTCTGAAATATTCATAAGGCATTATATTATAATAACTGGCACCAAATAGTTACCAAATGAATAAATATACAGAAAATGAATACATGAATAACAATTGTGAAGAAAAGTTAAGGTATGTTGAACTAAATTAAAATGAAGACGTATCAAATTTGGGGGTGTGCAATGAAAGTAGTGCTTAGGATTGTTTTTGTATTAATGAATATACTTTTTAATAATTTTTAAAAAATATTTCTTTAGTTGTAGGTTATATGTGGAGCTGAGGATCAAACCCAGTGCTTCACACATGCTAGGCGAGCACTCTACCACAGAGCCACAACCTCAGCTCTAGTGAATATACTTTTAAAGAAGATAGTCCTAAAATCAATAATCTAACATCTTATTTAGGAAATTGTATGGTTTAAATGTGGTGCCCTCCGAAATGTTCAAATGTGACACAATTCAAGGTTTAGAGGAGAAATATGTGGGTTATAGTCTTAACCTAATTAGTGAATTAATTCTTGGTGGGATTAACTGAGTTGCAAATGGAGGCAGCTAACCTTGGCATCAACCACGTGGTGCTGGTATTGCAGGAATTCAAGATAGAGTAAGGGGTTCATGGAGGCTTCCACCAAGATTTCAAAGGAAGGCCTGGGAGGCCAGAAAAAGTACATCAGGGTTGGAGTCCCTGGGAGCACTCCCTAAGAAGTGAAAATGTGGAGATGTAAAAAGGAAGCCGAAGTTTCAGTGGAGACCCCCAGGAAATGCCAGTAATGTGGGACATCATCCTAGGAAAGCGGCAGGAATTGAGCAAAGAAAAGAAAATAGAAAGGCCAATTGTGAAGCATCAAACAAGGTCACAGGGGCAAAGCTACATAAGCCTTTTGTAGAGAAAATCACAATGCCATGTGCCCCAAATGGAGCTACAGGATTTGTTTGCCATGCTGGATTTTGGCTTGCTTTGGTCCTGTCCTTTCTTTCTTCACCCCTAATTTTGGAAATGGAAATGTTTACTCTGTACCATCATATATTGGATACTTGTAAATTGCTTTTACTTTTATAGTAATTCAGATTGCCAGATTGCCTTGATCCTGAGGAGATGGTGGACTTGAACTTTGACCTATCAAGTTGAGACTATGGGGATTCTTGGGAATGGACTAAATGTATTTTGCATTGTCAGATGAGTGTGTTTGGGGGTCAGGGGCAGAATGTTATGGTTTAGATGTAGTGTCCCTGAAAGGCTCAAATGTGAGACAATGCAATAAGGTTTGAAAGAGAAATCATTGGGTTAAAACCTTAACCTAATCAGTGAATTAATCCCTGATAGGATTAACTGAGTGGTAACTGGAGGTAGGGTGGGGTGTGGCTAGATGAAGTGGGGTACATATTTTGTATCAGGAGAGTGGATTTCTTTCTCTCTGCTTCTTGATCATCATGTGAGCTGTTTCCCTCTGCCACAGTCTTCCACCATGATGTCTTACATCACCTCAAGCCCTGAGGAATGGAGTCTGCTATCTATGGACTAAGACCTCTGAAACAATGAGCCCCCAAATAAACGTTTCTTACTCTGCAGTTGTTCTGGTTGGGTCTTTTTAGTTACAACAGTAAAAAAGCTGACTAAAACAGAAATTTAAAAAACAGAGAAGATTAAATCCAAAGTAAACAGAAAAAAAGAAATAATACATGTTAGAACACAACCACCTCAGGCCAGTATTCTAGCACTAATCAGACATGTTATAATGATGACTCAAATACTGAACATGAGCAATAGGTTGAACCTTTGGAAGACGTGTATTCTTATTGATAAAAATGACAATAAAATTGGGACTGACACCAAGAACAATTACTACTTGAATGAAAATATTGAGAAAGAAATATTTCATTGAGTTTCTAGTGACTTTTTTTATCACTGAAAATGAACTACTGATAGAGCCAAGATCAGATACTAAAATTATCTTTCCAGGATGTTTTACTTATACTTCTTGTAGTCATCCATTAAGAAATCTAGGTGAAGTGAAGAAAATGGTGTCACTAGTTTAAGAAAATAAAACACAGAGGCATTTAAAACCTGAATAAATATTCCCTTTGAAGTGGTTACACCAGAAGTTATCTAACATGAATTCACTACAAAGTACAATTTGATGATGTGTAGGATGAACACAAAATTGACTACATTTTGTGGGTGATGAACAATCTGTTAGTCCTGAGGCTC